AAACCGTGAGTTCCTCTTTTTCTTTCGGGCTCAAGCGTGAGCTGATTTTAACAGTCTTCTCTAGCTACTGGGGATCAAGAATGATGTGCTTGGCGTTCTCTTCGGGATTCCATCCCGTTTTGTCTGCTAGCACATTGGTTTAGACATCATTTTCTTGATCCGACTGCTGTAATTGCTATTTGGTAGCTTTATCGTCCATTTGGACCTCGATAGTTTCTACGGGGGTAAAGGTATTCTTTTGTGACTCCTTCATTACTTGCACAGTGCATCGTCGAGATGTGGCTTGGTCATACTTGATTTCTCTGACTTTTGGATGCGAAATCAGATATTTTGATACTTAACAGAGGTTACAACTTCAAACTTTATTAGCTAAGGTTTCCTTAGAATCCCAATGTAGGAAGACGGGTTACTTATTATCGTGAACATCTATTTTGAGACAACTGGCTGTGTTCTCATGTCAAGTGTAATGTTGCTGATGGCAGTAGAGGTATGTCCGTTAAATTCGGTGAGTACCTCCGCTTGGTGTATGATTGTGCTTTCTAGGCCGATCTTCTGAATCACTGGGAGCTGAAGTAGGTTGACCGCACTTCCATTGTCAACCATCATTCTGTCGACTATAGCATGGGCTAGTTGGATAGATACCACTAGCGCATTGTGTGGGAAATCGACGCTTTCGGAATCCTGCTCGGTGAGGTCAACGATAGGTCTAGATTAGGTGTTGACTACCTGGACCTATGAGACTAGTAAAGACTGTTGGATATTCCTCTTCTTAGAGTTGTTCGTGGCCCCCAAGTGCTCAGATTCAGCAAAAATGCCATTGATTAGAATCGTCTTGGTTGGCGGTTTCTTCGTCGGCATCTGCGTTCCTTCTAGGCTGCACAGCTGGCTTGTCCAAGTATCTGTCGACCTTGTCTTCTTTCACGAGCTTCTCTAGGTAATTCTTCCAAGTGTAGCAGTAGTAAGTTGTGTGATCGGGACCTCGATGGAATGTGCAGTACTTGGTGTGGTTAAACTTGGAAGTATCTCTCTTTGATTGTTTTGGTAGCTTGAACCAAGGTTTGTTCTTGATGTCTCAGAGGATTTGGTGGATCAGAATCGAGAACTTAGAGTATTTCTTGAGTGTCTATCCTTATTTAGTCATGGATCAATCCCCATGCTTGGCTTCAAGCCTGCTTTTGTTGTTGTACTCCTTCTCGTCCTCTTTCTTTTGAGCTACTGCCGATTCTCTTCAAGGTTGCCTAGGTGCCTTGGTTACTCGCCGAGCCTCGTCTCAAAGTTCATGCTTCTTTACCAAAGTGAAAAAGTCTGCCAAAGTTAGATCTTCTTTCATGATCAATTCACCAAACGGTGAGTGGTTTGCTGGGAGTCCTTTTTGGAAGGCTGCACTAGCTATCGAGTCGTCCCATCCAACTATATTTGCCTTCTCTGCTTTGAACCTCTTCACATAGTCATAGAGCGATTCCTTTGGGTTCTTCTTGATGTTGAATAAATGATCGGACATTTTCTTGATCGAGCGGTAAGATGAATATTCTTTGGTGAAAACCAAAGAAAGTTCATTGAAACTCCGAATGGATTGTAGCGGTAGGGTATGAAACTAATATTGAGCCTCGTCTTGTAGAGTAGTGGTGAATATCTTGAACATAAAAGCGTCGTTGTTCCGATAAAGGACCATTGTGCTTCGGTAGTGCTTAAGGTGTTTCTCCAGGTTTTTATCTCCTTTAAAGGATGTGAAGTGTGGCATGTTGAACTTATGTGAAGGCTTTGCCTGCTTGATCTCGTCCATGAAGGGTGACCTGCTTATGTTTGTCATGTTCCATCATAAAGTTTCGTTAGTGACCTCGTTGCGTTGGAAATCGTGCAATCGCTCGGTTAAGAGTTTCTCTACTTCTTCATGAATTTTTCTTTGTTGGGGTAGCGGAGCTCTCGACTGCCCTTGATCGTGACCTGCTAGTCTAAGCTACTCTACCATGTGTTCGGCTCGTTTAGGCCACCACCATAGTGCATGTGGTAAATTCTAAGTAGGCAAGCGAATTTTTCGCAGGTTGCTGGTTGAACTTGAGTCGGATTGCGTGACTGCTTCTCTCTGTCTGTGGTGCTGCCTACTCAGATGTGAAGTGGATGATGTTCAATGCTGGCCTAGCCGCAAATGAACATTTTTCTTGGAAGGTTGTTTATGTTGATTATCGGATTGTGGCCCCAACCGTGAATGTATGTTCGTCCGTGGGCCTAGCCAAGAGTGCACACTCATCTACGTGCTAAGACAAAAGTATACGCTATCTCGGGCCCCTCTCGGGAGTGCAGAGGTTCATCGTCTGCTCTTGTCTTACTCTAGGACACCTTATCTAGGGCACGTTGCATCTTAGGACGCTGCAAGAGCTGAAGGTTGTTTGCTGTGTAAGGATGTTGGTTAGCTCTATGACTTGTTGAGACAAGTGTTGCTCTCTATTTGGGTTAGAAAACTTGGACATTATGCGTCTCCTTGAGTAGTGAAGGTGTAATGGACCCCGTGTGCGAGATTTGAGTTGGGATATATCAAATCTACAGAGAAATGGGGAGAAAATATCCCTGGGTCAATCGTCGGTTTAGAAATCTGAAGCCGAGACAGTTGAACATGTCTTGGACCGCTTTAGACTGCTTAGAGAGCCACGGAAGTAGGCTGCTCCACGTACGGCGTTCGTGGGTGTTGCGCCTGGGCTCGACTCTGGAGCGCACCGTGCTCGCGCTAGGTCGCGACTCGGGTCGACTCACCTTGGGCTTGGGTCCGCTGGTCTTGGGCTCTTGTTGGCCTTGGGGTCACGAGGTCTGGGCTGCTTTAATTGCTGCAGTTGCTTGGCCTTGTTGAATTTAGGTTGGCTGCCTTGTGGCACGGCTTGCGCCTGTTGCTGTGAAGTGGCTTTCTCACAGTGGGCAATGGGCTTGCCGATAGTTGCTGCCGTGGTTGCTACCATGGTGGCTACCACGGTGATGCCTCGTGGGGGTGGTGCCGCTCCATTCATCATCGCATTGAGCCTCGTGGATCACCGTGGTCCAAATCCTTGAACGTAGGAAGTTTCATTTGTTATGGTTTCTGAATTTCTAGTCATTGTACTTTTCTTTTGCGTTTATTCAAAAAATTCTAGGAACAAGAACGTACGAACTACAAATGAGCAAGAAACAAGAAACGTTGAACGCAAGAGTCTTCTTCGAGCATGTGAATCAAGCCTCTCAATGAAAGCACCAATTTGTGGATGCAAATTTCCATCGTCTTCTCCTTTGATGAAAATGCACCTGCAAAATAATAACACTTAAGATTAAGGCCAAAAGCTTCACGTGCCCACGATTAATGGAGGCTTTGGTCAAAGAATCTCCTATGCCAAAATTAGAATTTGAGAGAAAATGTGTTTGAGAATTTTTGTGAGAGAATGAACTTAGCATTTTAGTAGGAAAAGTGGTCTATTTATAAGGGTGTGGCCGGCCCTATTTGGAGAATAGGGTCCGGACACTTTTAGTGGAATTAGGGATTTAATTATAAGATATTATGTAGTAATATCTTGCAATTAATCTAGGCAATCAATCCTAATTCAAATAGGAGAGTTACCTTTTGAGGTGGGGATTTGATGAGAAGTGATGAGAGAGATTTGACTAAATACCATTTTGGTCACCTTTGACTCTTTCTTGATTGAGCTGTTATTGTCCGTTGCATGCGCGTGAGAATGCCGGTGTGCCTTGAGAGTAATTTCGTCATTTTTTCCCAAAAGTCCACGTGTCGCCTCTATAATTTTCTTGATTATTTTTAGTTCCACATTCATTATATAGAAAGTGAAGTTGTTATCATTGATTTTATTGTAGAATTTTAATCTTGGCACAGAGGGTTGATAAGGAACCGGCATACCTAGGTTAGATTAGTTGGTCAGGGTAGTGTGCTCGCCCTCATGTAAATCAACATAGTTTAGAATACCGCATTGTTAAAAAAGGAAAGGATGGTAAACAAGCACTATAGAAATGAGAAAAATGAGATAATTCATGAATGGAGAATGTCCACAAACTTGAATTACTACATACACATCGATCAAATGAATTGAGTTCATTCAATAGCACTGAGCATAGGCGTTGGTTGGTATTGACCTTAGCTTCGAAAAAACTCGAAGGAGATACCTGAAATCTTTCTCCTTCAAGATTAACTGAGCTTTCTTCAGCCATTACATAAGCTCGAAAAAGAACAGTGGAAACAAAATAGGCAAACACAGGTCAATAGGTGACACTGCTCTGATACCATGTAGATTTTTAGTTCCAAAGTATTTCTATTTCATGAAAAGTTTTGAATGTACAAGACAATATATGTAGGCAAAGACAGTAAATGATTATAGGCAACTATCTTTTCATGAATCAAGGAAAAGAAAAGAAATGGTGGCCGGCAAGGAAAAGAGAAAGCTGGTGTGAAACAAGGAAAAGAGAGAGCCTTGAAACAAGGCAAAGATAAATGGTGGCTGACAAGGAAAAAAAGAAAGGAAAATTAATGATAAGGCTTGAAAATTTTAAGTTTTAACGAAAATGACAAAATAAAAGGTAAAGTGAATAGTATCAGAAATGATCTTTTAGTGTAAAAATGTGGTTTTTCGTTAAGGTGAATAATACCGGAAATTTTTTGTTAAAGTTCCCAAAAAAGAAAGCTGAATGGTTGGAGAAATTTTTCATTGTGATTAAAACACAGGAGGTACATCATGTATTTTTATATAAGTTATGAGAAATTTTATTTTTTAAATTATTAAATTTTAACACACATATTCCACAATTTGTATAATAACACATAACGTAGTATCGGTCATGAAAAATTTTTCAGACTGGTTGCCTGGTTCCAACGAGAAAGCTGACTGGTTCGAACACAAACAAACCCACTAGTGAAGTATAATCCTCATAACACACTCCATTAAAACTCAGAACCCGAAGTATAATCCTCTAACACACTCCAGTTCCTGATCTCCGTTTACCACAGTTCCTGATCTCTGACATGATCCATCGCCATGGCTCACCAAGCCGAATCGTCCGACTGGTGAGTCAACTCGCCACCATTAATTTTGTTTTAGTTTTCACAATTTTTATATGTCGGAGTGTTTCCTTTCCGTTTTATTTGCATAAATATTTAAATTCTGACTGGGGATTTGATTGTTTTGCAGGAAGAAGGAGGACTTGTGGACGGCAATTCTGGAGCGGAAGAAGTCGCCGAACCTTCTCGTCGTTGATGAGGCTGTAAGCGACGATAACTCCGTCGTTGCAATGCATCCCGAAACCATGGAAAAGCTACAACTTTTCCGTGGCGACACCATCCTCATCAAGGTACTCTTATTTATTTTATTTATTTATTTATTTATTTTTCCAATCTAATCAGAAGATAAAATTTAGGGTAGCTTGTCAAATAAATTGAAAGTTAAAATATCACGCTAGGGTTTTGTTGGGACGAGGTTTTAGGGATATTTTTTGTTGTTGCATAATTTGTATGTTCTATGAAACAACTTCATTTAGATTGAGAATTGGGGTTGAATTGCAAATTTAGTTCGAACCCAGAATTGGGTTGCTTTGTGCTCATTGGTGTTGAAGCTTAAGTTTGAGAATTAATAAAAGAAGGAAAGTGATCACTTTTACTTTAGCGGAACCTGTTAGGTACATGGCATTGTCATGTAATAGATATTCGTTAATTGGATTTTGTCAACGAACTAGACCCAAGTGTTTCCACGTCTTACTTTATTTGTATGACATTGTGTTTTTTTAATTTGCGGAGGTTTTGATTTACGGCTCATGTGTTTATTTAATTATCTATGATTGGGTTTTCAGGGGAAGAAACGAAAAGACACAATCTGCATTGCACTTGCTGATGACACCTGTGAAGAGCCAAGAATCAGGATGAACAAGGTTGTCAGGTCGAATTTAAGGGTTCGACTTGGGGATGTTGTGTCTGTACATCAATGCCCTGATGTTAAGTATGGGAATCGTGTTCACATTCTGCCTATTGATGACTCTATAGAAGGAGTTACGGGAAATCTCTTTGATGCCTTTTTGAAACGTGAGATGGTGACATCTTTGGTGGTCATTTGTTTTACTTCTAAAATATTTATCACTGTGGTTTACTTGTTACTTAGGCCCCATCCAAGACCTCCTACAATTTTTACTTTTCCAGGGTCATTGTGGTGATTGCTGGTCTAGGAACATATTATTGTGCTTTGCTTGTTTGTTTTTATTTCTCTATGTAGCCTCTTTGTAAGTGTTTATGATACATGTACATTAATTTATTTGGATTGCTTCCTACTCCATTTTAACTGTTCACGCCATTTCGTTGAAAAATATAAGTTTGATGCAGATGATTTGCACTTCCTCAGCATACTGTCTGCTATTTTGTATCGGATTAAATTTCTTTAGTTTTTTTTCTTAAGGCTTGGACACTAAAACTTGGCTTGCTATATCCCTTTGTTTTGTTTGTAGCTTATTTCTTGGAAGCTTACCGCCCTGTGAGGAAAGGAGATCTGTTCCTTGTCAGAGGAAGAATGAGAAGTGTAGAGTTTAAGGTCATTGAAACTGACCCAGGAGAATATTGTGTGGTTGCCCCTGACACTGAGATCTTTTGTGAGGGTTTCGCCGTGAGAAGGGAGGATGAGGAAAGGTTGGATGAAGTTTGTTATGATGATGTGGGTGGTGTTAGGAAGCAAATAGCTCAAATCCTCAGTTGCGTTCTTCTCGAGCCTACTGTTTTTCCTGAAGAGGTTCTTTCTCTTGAAGAGCGGGCTTCAGTTGAAGAATGGGCATCATGGCATGACGCCCTCGAAAAGCTCAAGCATAGTCTTGCCAATGAAGCCAGGGTGTTAAGTTCGGTTGAGGAATTGATTCCTTCTGGCGAGGCCTTCTCTTCCCGAGTCGACTTTAGGGGAGTGAAGGTTCGTTCTGGATTAGCTGAGGCGTTGGGCAAGTTCTTTGAGCGTGTTGATGACGCAGATGTGAACTTGATAGGTTTATCTCCCTTTATGCGTGGGATGATCTTTGAAGAGCTTGGGCTTTTGCTTTACGGTATGGAGCATACTTCTCCAGTAGAACTTACAAAGCACAAACTGTTATGTTGGCGTGACATGATCAGCGATGTAGCCGCTTTAGGCGTGCCGGTGGGTTCTCTAATTGAGAGGTTGGAAGAGTTTCGCGATACCATGTTTGGACTTCAACTTGAAAAGAAAGGTGTCTTGGATCAATTCATCAAAGTCAACAAATTGATGTGTGTTCTCGAACTGCAACTTAAGGAACTAGAGGTTGAGAAGCTTAAATTGAAGAAGTTGGTCTGTGGGAGCTCCAAAGAAATAGCAGTGTGCCTTCAGCTTGCAGTAGATCAGTTGGCTGTTGGCACCTCTAGCAGTTCATCCGAGAGGTGGTGTTCTGAGCTTAACTCCTCACCTTCTTATGACTGCACGCTTTACCTAACTGTTTGCATTTTTCTAACCTTTGGCTTCTTTTTCTTGGCAGAGCATGAACCTTGAGATGTTGCTGCATCAGGCTATGAAGAAGATGGATTTCCTCACTCGACCTTTACTTTATTTGTAATTTCCATTTGGACATCTATCTTATTGCTTTTCGAACAATGGTCATAGGGCCGCTTTGCTTTGTATTTTGCTTATTTTCCTTGAACTCTTTCCTTTGGTTGTGATGCTGATGTCGATCGTATCATAATGCTTGCACCTTCTTTACTCTTCTTGCCATGATGTTGGCTTTTTCATGCATGAGAGTGTGTTGGATGGATTTCTATTTAGCCTTTTAGACATAGGTTTGAGCTTTTGCCTGTTTTCCTGGGGGAAATAGCTGATCCTGCTGCTTGGTACTTTACCACTGAGTTTCCCTGAGGAAAGATGAAAAAGATGTCGTAGCTTCCATAAGGAAATAGAGTAAGTCATGAAATCTTGACTTGCTTAGCATTAGGTTTTTCAATGTTAAGTTTGGTGTATTTCGCATCAATAGGCTTAGGCATGTTGCATAAGTATAGCTTTTGGAAAAGCTTTAGTTGCTTTACTCAATGGTTTTGCATGGCGTGTCAGCTTGGCATGTTACATGAGCATTGAATCATTGAGCAGCTTGCATGGCATTGATAGGCTTGGCTTGCATAAGTATAGCTTTAGGAAAAGCTTAAGTTGTTTGACTCAATGGTTTGCTTGGCATGTTGGCTTGGCATATTATAAGCATTGAACCATTGAGCAGCTTACCTTGCATTGATAGACTTTGGCATATTGTGTAAGTATAGCTTTTGAAAAAGCTTTAGTTGCTTGACTCAATGGTTTTGCATGGTGTGTTGGCTTGGCATGTTGCATGAGCATTGAACCATTGAGCAGCTTGCATGGCATTGATAGGCTTGGCATGTTGCAAAAGTATAACTTTAGGATAAGCTTAAGTTGTCTGACTCAATGGTTTTGCATGGCGTGTTAGCTTGGCATGTTGCATAAGCATTGAACCATTGAGCAGCTTGCATGGCATTGATAGGCTTGGCGTAGGCTTTTATTATAGCCTTGGTATGATTACTGTTATAGCTTGTTTAGAAGAAATCATTCTAGTTACCTTTGCCAATGTAAAGAAACGAATGGACCAAAGATTTTGACAAAATGCTCCTTCATTTCATTAAAATTTGGGGTACATCAATCGTTGCATGGCTTTACAAGGCCTCATAAAGTAAGCAAACTGACCATTGCATAAAAGGAGGTTGTTCTTGTAAAATAAGTGTATGTGTTCTAACAGAATATGGCTTTAGTCACTTTGCATTGACACGTTTCGTTAGCGTACCTTCCTTGACCGAAGTCAAGTAATAGTAGCCATTTCGATAGGTGGCACCTGCATTTTTTAGTCTAAATGGCATGACTATATAGTAAAAGTTTCCAAATGGCATGCGGAAAGCTGTATTCTCAGCATCTTTGGCAGACATCTTGATTTGATTGTACATACTGAAGCCATCCGTGAAAGACATCAGGCCTTGTCGTGAGGTTGAATCGATCATGATGTCCATGTTAGGCAATGGAAACTCGTCTCTTGGGCATGTTGCATTGAGATCTCGATAATTGAAGCAAATCCAGATTTGAACAGTATTGTTCTTTACTGGGATGATGTAGGCTAGCCAAAAAGGGTGCTTGATAGGCTTGATGTATCCGGTTGTAATGGGCTTTTCTACTTCAACTTTGATTTTAGCTTCTATTTCTGGGTGGAAATTCCTCATTTGCTGCCACATGGGCTTGATCGCAAACTGTGTATTTAGCGCGTGGCACACTAAGTTTGGGTCAAGGCCTGACATCTCTTCATAGATCCAGGTAAAGCAGTATTTGAACTCCTTTAGTAGGCTGACTAGTTCGTTCTTTTCTCAATAGTTAAGTAAACACTAATAGAAATCAAATTTTGCATAGAGGGATCATCACTTAGGTTTACCTCCTCAAGCTTTTCTGCCACTGCAATGGATTCATCATGCATGCATTTTGGCGTATGCATGATTTTCTGCATGGATTCGTCCTCGGCAACATGTGCAGGCATGTCTTTAACTTCATTGGGAACTTCATTTGCTTTGTGTGCAATGTCTACATAATTGAGGCATTCCCACTCAATGTGGTTAGGCCCCCCAACCTGTCATAAGGGGTAAACGATGCGACCGTCTGGAAACACTTGTGAGATCCCGTATTTTTAGAGTTTATTTTAGGTAATATTACTACCGTGATTTTATCCCTATCCAACTCTTAGCTGAGGTGAATTACCATTCATCCTATTTATGTCTATGTGGCTAGCTATCATTTTTACCAATCCAAATTGTTATAGGAAAGAAGGATTCTATGCTTAGAGGGCACATATTTATGCTGATTATATGAAGCTACCTTGTGGATGTGTGCTTTATATTGCCATGCAATTGACACCTCTCAATAGGATAGTTATCAAGTCCTTATAGTTTATCCGTGTATATTAAATTAATAATATTTTTACTTAGCCTTTGTTGAGCAAAAATTGTACATAATATGTAAACAAATAATTCACTTGACACAATTTCACCCTCGTTCATTTTTTTTGAAGAGGGTTTTATTAATTTGAGTTCGACCCATTCTAGGCTACGCGCCTATTAATTACAACCCTTCTTTTGAGAAAGGAATACCCTTTGATTCTAATATGAATAAATTGTAACTTGGGGATTTGGGTGTTTATTTGATTTTGTGATTGCATCTAGGTAGAGCCCTAGATTGCCTAAGCACCCTCGTTGAGGGATCAAGTCACTCGTAGTTGCTTATGTATTTGTTGGGGTTTGATGCCTTGTGCAGTTTCAACTCATGCAGGCAAGGAGCATTTAATGCATTGTGTAGTTTTAGCTCATGCGAGCGAGGACTTTAAGCCATTGGAGTGTTGGTGCCTTGTGCAGTTTTAGCTCGTGTGGGCGAGGACTTTGGGCCATTGGAGCGTTGGTGCCTTGTGCAGTTTTAGCTCGTGCGGGTGAGGACTTTGAACCATTGGAGCTAGATGTGGCTTCGTGCCATTTGATATTTGATATGGCTTCATGCCATTTGAGATTTTTCTTCGGTTTTGTGCCATTTGAGATTTGATACAGCTTCGTGCCCTTTGAATTTTGACACAACTTTGTGCCATTGTAAATTTGATATGGCTTCGTGACATTTGACATTTGATATGGCTTCATGCCAGTTGATATCTAACCTGGCTTGGCTTCGTGCCTTTAAATTGGCTTTATGCCATTTGAAGAGGCATTGTTCCATTTCAGCGTCAAGTAAAATTAATGGGTATGTTTGTGATGAACCTACTAATACTTTGGTATTTAACTTTGTCTTGGTGCCGTGCATCTCAGCCTTCATGGATAATTTTAATTTTGATGGAGGCCATGCTCTTAATGCTCACGTGAGTGGCATGAAGGTGTGCTTTTATTTTTTTCACTGTAGCTTCCTTCCTTGCACAATGCACTCAAAATTGGAGTAGAACTTCAGAGGAAAAAAAAAAAAAAAAAAAATGTTGGCATCTGTTCCCTTTCTCTTTTCACCGTTGCTTTTATCCATGTGATGCTTCTTTCCATCCTTATTATTTCTTGGACAAAAGACATAGAAGTAGTAACACAGAGGTTTTTGTCTTGTTTCTTTGTAGGTTCAATAGCTTCATTATTTTAAGTATGCTTTTGCTAGGACTTTTCCAATTGTAAGAGGACATCACTTTCTTTGTTGCTTTACCACCTAATGCTTGCTGCAACACCCACGTGATGGACAAAACTGTTTCTTTCTTCCTCTTTTTCCTGGAACATCCTTCGAAGAATGGAGCAGCGACAACGTGCCAAATTCTTTGAAGTCGTGTTTAACTTTTTGCCAACAAGTTTACACATATTTGGTGATTTAAAGAAGGACAGGTTTCTGAGGACATGGTCTCCATACTTCTCGTTCTCAGAGCCAAACTTGATAGACTCCTATATGAATAAAACAAATGAAAGAGTCATTGATTTTCTTCTTGCATATTTAATCTCCATGTGGGACAATCTTCCCTAGCAAACTTAGATTGCAGCCCGCACCATTTTTGGTGCTCAATGTGGGCAGTACATCCTTCCCTTGCAAGGCAATTTTTTTCTTGACTTCAAGACAACGGCGGCGGCGGTCGGTTGCTCCTTTGTAGAGTTTTAGTGTCAACCGAGGCGACACAAACAACAGAGACGGATTGGTTGTCGTCTTTCTTCTCTGCCATCTTATTCCTCCATACTTGAAACTTATTGTTACTCTCTTTTAAAATGGAAACACCATTTCTGCACCATTGCCTTATTGTTTGTACAACTTCTACAACTTGGTGCACAGAATTTTGAGGTTGTTCCTTGGTTGCTTTTTTACTAGACAAGGCATGAACTCTTGGGCTTGCTCGATCAACGTCTTGACGATCTTCTTCCTGATGGCTTTTCTACATAGACCGGGTCTTCAACTGCCTCATTATGGTGGATTGGAACTTTTGACAATGATGGTTCAGCGGGGAGCGACATGGGCTACTCCTTTTCTTCTTGGCATTCATCAAAGAACATGATTCTTCTACTTTGAGTCTTCTTTCTTGAAGCGATAACTGCAACCTTTTCCATTTTTGTTTGTTCTATGGCTATGGCTGCGTCTTTGTCCCAATGGTCTGCTTGCCGCTCAGTGTCGCATCCACATCATTTTAGACGATTGTCGAAGTGGAAGCGAATAATTATGGCGTGGCTGCTGCCTTCGTTTGGGTTTTTGTCTAACATCGGCGGTTGCTGGCATAAAATTCTTGTTGCCGACCAAAGTTTTTCAAGACAACGTTTGCCTGCAAAATAAATTTACTGGAGAGAAAATGAAGAGAAAAAATACATAATTATGTACCTTCTGATTGTTGCTTGTAGTTTGCTCTTCTTCCTTGAAAATCACCGGTAATGGAATTACTTCAACTTCTCTTCTGGTAGTATTTTTGTTACTTCTTTCCTCTCTCAATTTCTATCTCAATTTGCGCAGCGTACCTCGTCCTATTTTTTTCTTTTCTCCTTCTTGCTGCAATTGAGGCCTATTTATAGGCATCTTAGGAAGGGTTTAGAGTTTTTTTATGTGGGGGAGATGGAGACCATGTTTTTCTGCCACTTTCCCTTATCCTCTCCCACTGACTGTGCAGTTTTTTCCACACCTTGCAGAAAAATAGGAAGCTCTTGTGTTGCACGTTTCTTCTCTCTTTTGCAGGAAGAAATTCTTATTTGATTTTCTATTTATTTATTTATGGATGTTGATTTGTATGTAAGGCCCATCCTCATCTTTTGGGCTGGATTACATATTGTTTTGCCTTGTAGTTTGGCCCAATTTGTATGGACTCTATTTTTTATTTGTTATATATTTTTGTTGTTCAATAGCCTCCAACTTTCCTATCTTTGGTTTCAAACATGATTTGTTTGATAAATGCAGGCTATGCATGCAAGTGTTATTATGTAGAGGTGGTGTGTATATGTAATATATGTATGTACGTGTGTGTATATATATTATATATGTTTAGAGAGAGATTAGAAAAGAAAATAGAATGGAAGAAATACATAGCATTAGGAGTGATTAAGGAGTTTGCTCAAGTATGTGGAGCTTAGTTACTACAGTAATGGTGTGGATCTTTGTTTCAGCTTTGGAATCGAGGTAGGGGTTTTTTGGGAACTTATCACTATTGGGGTATTTGTCTTGTTTAAGCTTTGTGAAATATGTGTTCTATTTGGTACTCATATAATTGATATAATTGCTTGTTTGGAACTTGATATATTATTGTGCTTGTTGATAATTCTATATTATGTTAAAATGTTAATTACATGCATATGTCATTGCATATTGGAGTGGGAGGATCTTATTGGAATATTCGGGATTGGGGAATGGAAATAGAACTATCTTTTGTGTGGTTGAGTTCAACTTTCGTAGGGACCATCAAGGATGGCAAAAGTGAAATTATAGGAATGGTACGAAGTAGTGGAGACTCTGGCGATCGAGAGGAGAACAAGATGACCAACGAAATGAGTACTTGGTATGATTGAGTTACAGGGATTGGTTTATATAATAAAGCATTCGAAGCACCGCTGCAGTGGTAAAATGCATGGTATGGGACATGCAGGTTTGCTTATTTTATTATATAGATTAACGAGTCGGGTAATTGAAGTTAAGTTGCATTCATGATATGTAGTTTATGTTTGATAACATGTTATGATTGATCACAAAAGCATGACACTTGGTTTAGCCTTGACGATTATCCTTGATAAGACTTATGTCCTTACTGAGGTGTGTTTTCGCTCACCGTATATATTTTAGACCTTGCAGGTTTGCTACATGATTAACGAATGGTAGATGAGCTAAGGTTGTGCTAGACAAGGGATTTTAAGTGTTTTCATTTATCTTGTACACCTTGTAAGTATTTTGGAGTTACTTGTATAAGAAAAGTTTCGTTTTTCGTTTTTATTTTTATTTTTACTCGTGCGCCTGGTGCAAGGTTTTCCATCGACCCTGAGTCCGGGGCGTGACAGCACGACTTTGGAGCATTGAGGTGGAGTGTAGGCAAGGACATTGGTCTCTGGCTGTATGTGTTTTCTCTTTTTCACAGTGGCTAGGAATTCTTGGTCACTTAGATCTAAAACTTCTTCCCAAAGGGGTAAAGGTATCCTTGAGGCCTATGATATCCCACTTCCGGCATTTGAGAGATAATTATAGAATTCGGCATCGGAATAGTGAACCTCATCTAAATTGAATGACATCTAGTTTCCTGGGATGCGAATAGGCCTCAACGCAATCATTCCCTTGATGCACTGGCGGTAGGTGGAGGCTACTAGTCTGTGCTTGTTTATCTATGGCCTTCCAAGCAGAGCGTGGTAATCCATATTGATGTCCATCACATAAAACTTAGTAAATGACCTGATAGGGCCGATCCTTAAGTTGATCTTGACATATCCTATACTTTCCTCATTGCTATTCCTAAACCCATTGATAAAGATTTGAGACCTTACCACCTTTATCGTTGGGGCATTTGCTGCAATAAATGCTACCAAGGGCAGAATGTTAACGGGAGGAACCAGTGTCAACCAAAGCTGGCCTGATAAAGACGTCATTGATTTGTCCTTCAGGTACAATGACATTCAGTGGTCAGGGAAAACCACTTCCATGTCTTTGTCAGTGAAGATGATGACGTTGCTTGCAGATGAGGGCATGCAATCGCAGATAGTGTTGTGGAATGTTCCATGTTACAGAAGTAGAGACATTTTTGAAATTTAAAATGTATGAGATTCTTTTTGTTTTTGTTTTTTGTATTTTTGGGTCGAAAACAATCACACATGTCCCATTGATAGGAGCATATTTATGCTACTTAGTTATGTTGTTTCCTTGCATTTAGTTACTTAATTACTATCTATTTTAGTTTTTTAAGCTATTTTCGTATGTTTTTAGGTCCTAATGGCAAAAGGAGCAAGAAAGTGCATTTTGAGGCTATTTGGGGCAGTTTTGGGCATGGATTGGATAACTTAACTATGGAGCAATGTGGATGGACGAAATTGAAGTCAAGAGATGCTAGGAAAAGCTAAAAATTTGGAGAAAGAAGTCCAAATGCAAAGAAGATAAGGAAAGAGCAAGAAATAAGGAACCTTATCCAAATTTCCTTATCTTATCCAAACCTTATCCAACCTTATCTTATCTTATCCTATCCTAATCTTTTCCTACCTTAATTCCAACTTCAAAGAGGACTCCTTTTCACATTAAATCACCTAAATATCAAGTTCTAGAAGCCCTATTTTCGTGCATTAAGTTTATGCCACATATAACCCTTCTAGAAGTTCTAGAATCTGCCACAAGGACCATTCCTTGTCCTCCTTGGAATCTAATTGAAAGTATCCTTGTTCTTTGGTGATTTGGAGTCCTAATTCCTCTCATTTTCAGCCCAAATTTGTGCCTCCCCTTCACCCTATAAATACTTGATGCCACAACACTCAAAAACCACCACCCTCTACCACAAATTCACACCACACCATCCACCACACCTCAAGAGCCTAAATTCACACAAATCCTTATTGTTGGCAGCAAGGAAGGAAGGAGGAGCCACCTGGAGTGTTTCTAGGTGTATTCTATCTTTGTTTTTAATGTTTAAGTTTAATTATCTTTGTTTTGCGAACATGAGGAACTAATTTTGTTTTGGCTAGGGGAGACTTTGAAACCATGATTATATTTGCAATATGAATTGATTAATTCCAATTGTGATTTCATAAATTGTGAATGCAATTTACTTAACCGTTTGATGGATAACTTATTCTTGTTTGTTGATTAAGGGTGCACACTTAGTTTGCATGCATGAATTTGGGGCTAGAATATAAGGGAGTTTCACATAATCGTTACAAATTTATATTCACAAGCAGTTAAAGTTGTTTTCACAATCATGTTAAGTAAATTCCTAGCATGAGTATCATGATGTCATAGTTACAAGTGCTTTGTCAATACTTATGATTTTCATAGAACGTAATGATCTTTGATTGTATCTCTATTATGATGTCATGTAGGGGACTTTTGAAGAATGCTTTGGGTTGTCGTATGATGTCATCCAATCTAATAACTTAAGGAAAATCTAAGGGTTAATTAGTGATGTCACGGTTAATCTGGGGTGTTGAGGTTCATGGTTTATCGAAAAGCAATTGGAAATCAATTTGTATGCAAGTGTGTCATGTGTGGAGAAGGACCCTCTAGCTAGCTAATCACCCATCCATATTCCCAAATTCGTCCAAACCTTGTTTAAGTCTTTTAGTTACTTGTTTTTATCTTAAATTCGTCAAAAACCCAATCTCCTTTATTTAGTTGTGTCAAATCTGTCCTAAAGTGTGTTTTTGAGTCTTTTGAGTCAAAACCAATTCTATTTTCGTCCAAATTGAGTCCTAGAGTCTAGTTTGAGTCTTTTTGATTGTTTTGTGTTGTTTTGAGTCTCTTAAGTTTGTTTTGAGTCATATAAGTTTAGTTAAGAGTCTTTTGAGTTTGTTTAAGTGTTTTGAAGCATATTTTTGTATCTTTGAGTCAGTTTTCATTAGATTAGCAATCCCTCCTAATCCCCGGCCTAGAACGATCCCTACTTATATCTATACTACAATTGTCAAAAAGAGGGTTTAATTTGAGTGCTATTATATATCACATCACCCATGGTCATAATAACTGTGCAAGTATAAATTTTAGATTTGAAGCACAACAAACATGAGGAACGTCGATACGTATTAATACGTTTGCCCATGGTAAGTGGCCTTGGATAGTTTCTCTACCAATGAATGGATCAGAATTAAAGGAAAATATAAAGATTTGTACATGCTATAACTCTTTATCAAATTTTGAAAATTAAAACTTTTTCGACGGGTAATTCAAATTCTCAGTTAAAAAAAGAAAAAATAAATAAGTAAAACTGATTTTAAACTCTTCATAATTAATTTTAGTTTTCAGTTTTTTTCTCTTACAATATTCTAGGTCACATGCATGACACTCTAGTTCTAAAATTTGACATTTATAATCTTCTGAATTAAACTGAACTGCTTGACTCTTGTTGATTGCAAACCCGTTTGAGGCCCCAAATCCTTCATAACAATGCTACATATATACTGTGTATCACATTCACATACACTTTCATTATGACCTCAAATTGATAATTAGAACCCTAATAAAATTTCATATTTGAATAGTTACCATTTTTTTGTTAAAATCAAAACTAAAAAGTAGAAACTTAAATTAAAATTTTAATATTGAAATAATTAGAATAGGAATCCTTGATGTATGATTGAGTCACAAATGTCTCATCTTCATCAATTTCCTACCACAAATAAATGCACATTTTGAGATCCAAAAAGAAAATGGCATTTTTGAAATTGTTTTCAAAATGGGTGTTATAAAGACTAGACCCAGCAGCCAAGATAAGGAAGGATAACGGAACTACAATTTTACTCCTAAGAGCCTGGTGTTTTGCCTTACTCACTCGGAGGAGCAGTAAATGACAGAGTTGGCTGTGCACCAAATATCATTTTCTTCCCTTCCTAGGAGTAAGATGTGCCAATCTTTATTAATTTCAACTATCAAACCTTCAAACTTCTAAGCTTTATGTATGTATTTATTGTGCACCTGCACATCTTCCCGATTTCATGCATGTGCTCATCATGGATGCAAATTTTCATCGTCTTCTTCTTTGACAAAAATGCACTTGCAAAATAATAACACCTAAGATTAAGGCCAAAAACCTCATGGGCCCATGATGATTTTTAGGGGTGGGGGGGGGCTTTGGCCCAAGAATCTCCGATGCCAAAGTTTGAATTTGAGAAAGTGATGAGAGAGATTTGAATAAATACCATTTTGATCACCTTTGACTCTTCCT